AACTACACAAAGTGACCTCAAAGTTCGACCCCTCCGCCCCCCCCCCCGCCCCTCCCCGCTTTGGCAGGTGGCCGTGATGTCTCTCGAGGAGGCCGTGAAGGCGAGGATAGTGACTAGGCTTCGGGGTTCAGGGCCTTGGGGTCTCAGGGTCGAATATATGGGGCCTTTTTTTTTTTTACTAATTACCTATGCTATTTTGGTCCTTATAAACGTAAAAGTCATAGTCTAATATGGTTGCGGGGCTTCACCCCCCAAACCCCTACAGGACACCCTAAACCAGGGCCCTAAAGGGCTTTAAGTTGGCACCCTGGCCAAGTGTTCGCTTCGGTTCACTATTCTAAGTAGGGGCCCCATACCCTTATACTATGAATCTCTATATGGTATATGAACCTGAAAACCTTTTGGGGTTCATTTCGTCCTTAAGGAAGGGGGTTTATGAGGATTGGCAGGTGTGTCATAAGGTTTCTACGGGTGCTATGAGGCGCAAACCTCAAGCAATCGTCTCTCGTTCATGCCCCCCCCCCCGATGCCATCCGAAACCGCCAAGCTCCTGAACCCCACAACTTGGCACCAGAGCCTTTCAGGATGCAGGGTCAAGAGCAGTTCAGGGTTTGGGGGTCTTAGGGGCTTAGGGGTTTAGCATATAGGGTGTAGGGTTTAGGTTTTATTTTAACCTCCAAAACCTTGCAAGTCCCTAAACCTTAAACCCTAAACCCTAAACCCGAACCTTGAACCCTAAACCCTGAACCCTAAAGCCTGAACCCTTATAAACCCTAAACCCTAAACTGGTCCTAAACCCTGAACCAGAAGCCTCGAAACCCTGAGCCAGGCCTGTCAACGTTTCTTCGGCTACGCTCCGAACCTTGGGGACAGGAAGGCTGGGACCCGACCGGATGTTGGTAATTTATCTATATACATATATATGTATTTCTATTTATTTATTTATTTACTTATTTATTTACTTAGTTATTTTTATTTTTATATATATTTGTATATATAGGGAACTTAAAATATCAATATGGTCTTGATTGTGTCTCCTGTTGTAGCTATATAATTGTGTAATAAGGAGGCCTAGGGAATAAGACTAAATTCATGATTTAGGCCCCTATCCGGGTTTCATCTTGCGTCTATAAGGGTTTACAAGGAAGATTGATGAAGATTGTGAAGAGTCTTGGCGTTCTCAGACCTACAGCCCGACACAACCTCAATTATGCCGCAGTTGTATCGTGTCATAGCAAGGATGCCCCAAACATTTGGGTACGATTCCTTGTCGAATCTAGCGAATGACACGAAGGGTTGACGCAAACCAGAAGCCCTGCCCCGTTTCTTTCGGCGCCGTGAGAAAGTCTCCGAGGCTGCTTTGTCTGTGATCCTTCAGCTGACCTGGGGCCTCTGCAAGCCTCAAAAGCCCTAACCCCAAAGCTTTGTAGGGCCCTTCTAAGCCAGGGGGTGCCAGTGGCGGAGAACACACCAAGTCAGACCTCGAACGGCGAAGGCACGGCCTTGTGGTCAGCACCTTCGTTTCTATGAGAATGTCAGATACAAATAAAGCTATTACAAAGAACCTCCATGGTGAGGCTCTTGCGAGGTTCTAGTTTTTGCCAAGGCTTTAGGGTTTGTGGCTTGAGTGTGTGGTGTTCTTCTTTTTTTCTCAGGATTTAGAGTTTAGGCCTTTGGGATCGTTTGGGGCCGGCAAACACCGATTTTGGGCTTCTTGGAGATGATTGCGAGTCCGTTTAGGCGTTGGTGGGGTTTGGGGTTTAGGGTTTAGGGGTTTAGGGTTTAGGGGTTTAGGGTTTAGGGTTTAGGGGGAGCTTCGTGGCTTCAGACGGAATGTCGGCATGTTTCGGGACTTGCCCTAAACCTTAAACCCTAAATCCGAAACTTCTTAGGGTTTGAGCCGACCAAGACCAGCAGTTGTGACTGCATGTCTTGATTTATATACAGGCCAACCTACTTGCCAATACTATTTTAGGGGCTCCTTATTGTCATTATAGTGTCACACCGGAACCCTGGTCTGATTATTAAGGCCCATTCTCAATGAAGCGATGCTAGCCATGAGCTGCTTTTATCAAGAATGGAAATACCCAGTCTTTGTGGAACAATCCTTGGAAGTGCATGGCACTTCTACTCGGGAATACAGAATGGCGGAGGCTTTTTCTCTAGGAGCATGACCCGTAACTCGACGCCCCAAAAACCCTTTCAAGACCCCGAAGCATGTGAACCCTCATGCGGTACTTCCGAAAATAATAAGGGCCCTCCGAAATCGTACAAAATGCAGTGAACCCTGAACCCTAAGCTCCGAACAAGGAGCCCTGAACCCTAAGCCCTGAACCGCTAAACTTTGGATACCGCCCCCCCCACTCAGTAACAGTTGAATAATATTCAAAATATAGACATATCAGGCCCTCAATAGTACCCCAAACCCTAAACCCTAAACCCTAAACCTTAATTTAATACGTAGTACCCTTACCATAACCTTTTACTGTGTGGGGGCAGTACCCGACCGAAAGTCTACATCCGACAGCGACGCAGGCCCACCGGAGCTGGATAAGAAGCCCCTCATCAAAAGCCAGGCCTGGAATTTGGGGCTTATTAGTAGGGGCCTAAAAAGTTGCCTATACGATTTTGGGGGTTCCTTATTATAACTATAGTAGAATATACCCCAAAACCCTGTTCTAAGTATTTAGGGCCCTATATTATTATTAGGGCTCACGGAGTTTAGGGATTAGGGTTTAGGGTTCACAAACAGGGTTCTCTACCAGGTTCTTTGGAGGGTTTTGCATGGAATTGCCTTGGGATTGAGGCTTGATCTACTGGAGCCTATATAAATGAGCGGAATAGTGTTTTGGGGTACATTATACTACTACAATCACAATCGGAATAATTGTAAGGGAGCATTTCTGCAAATTATACCGACCCCCCCCCCCCCAGACTAGGATGGTTAAAGTACCCTAAACCCTAAACCCTAAACCCTAAACCCTAAACCCTAAACCCGGTTAAAGGTTAAGGCAGTAGCCCGGGGGATTTAGAGCTCTAGGGGCTTCCGGGTTGAATTCGGGGTTCAGGATACGGGGTTTAGGGTTTAGGGTTCAGGGTTTAGGGTTTAGGGTTTAGGGTTTAGGGTTTAGGGTTCAGGGTTTAGGATTTGGGCTGTAGGTTGAAGGATTAGGATCACCCTCCCAAGCGGGTCCTTGGTTCACCACTTTCAAATGGGGTCTGTTTCAAAAAAAGAAAAGAAGGGAATGCATTGGAGGGTAAAGAAACCCTAGACACCCGCAGTTTTATAGAAAAGTATCATTTTAGGATTTCGGGTTTAGGGTTTAGGGTTCTGGGATTTTTGGGCACGGTTTGGAGGGTTGGTTTCCTGCTTAGGGATCCGAGTCCGGAGCTTTGCAGGCGAAGGAGTCAACCGCCCAACAAAGACAACACATGTGTTTCACTGTGTCTGCAGGCTCTGAATCGAATTGTTTTCTACGTGGACAAGGAAAAATTGTGCCGAGACCCTTAAATCCTAAACCCTAAACCCTAAACCCTAAACTCTACACATGCACGAGGAAGAGCCCCAGTCGACTACCAAAACACAACCTGGCACCCTGAAGCCTCAATCCTAACTTCATGACACCCGTACTAGGTTCTGGAGTACCATACTCGGGTTTAGGATATAGGGTTTAGGTTTTTTTTTTGGGGGGGGGACCTGTTCCCTAAAGGAGCCATTATCAAATAAAAGTCTATACTTTTTCCGCCGTGGCTACTCCAAAGTCCAGCGTAGGAATCATGGGCTGAGGGTTTTAGCCGCGGAGCACTCCCTTCCATGGGTCTGTCCCCAGTGGTTTCTTTGTCTGTTTTGCTCGGGCTGCCAGCATGAATATAGGATTCTGCAGTGGTCTTTGCAGGAACTGAGGGGCTATACATAGTTCTATTGTGCTATAATTTACTGTAATAGGTACTATTGTAGATCGGACTGTAACCAGGTGTGTTTTACAGAGACAGCGTGCAGATGAGCGACGGCAGTGGCATACCCTAAACCCTAAACCCTAAACCCTAAACCCTAAACCCTAAACCCTAAACCCTAAACCCTAAACCCTAAACCTCAGAGCTTGGGACCCGGAGTTCCATGGATCTCAGAGGACTCGGATGCTGGTCACGGGAATGGCTGGGACCACGAAGCAACGGTTTAGGGTTTAGGGTTTAGGGTTTAGGGTTTAGGGTTTAGGGTTTAGGGTTTAGGGTTTAGGGTTTAGGGTCTCGCATATATAAGATCCATTGTTTAGGGGTCCACCCGCAGGGGTTCTACCTGCAGCCCTTTGGTTGAAGCGACTTCTGGGCTTTGCCAAGGTGGGTTCAAAGGAGTGGAAGCTCAGGCTCCTGCCGCGTTGACGCCGGGTTCTGACTGAGGACTTAGAGGCTGATCCTCATATGGGTAGTTGTCAGAATAATGGTCCGTTTTGGGGTACCCTAAATAATAGGTGCCGTATTATAATAAAGACCCAAAAAAGACCATAATTTTGACAGCCACCCATATAGACCCCTTAAGAATCCCCGCGAAAGCCTTATGACACCCAAAATTCCAAAGCTTGTTCAGCCACAATGACAGACAGATTCCTCAATCTGCTGTTGTATGTTGCTGGTGAGCAGCTTGATGCTCCCTGCAGCAGCGATCCTAAAAACCCCTAAGCCCTAAACCTCCTCATCGCAAGATTTTCTGAGAGCCCTCATAAAGACTCTGATGCCCTCCTGAAGCAACCGTCCCCCCCAAAAGCCTTTAACGTTACCGCCTGATCGAGTTCTATTCCGAAACCGACAACCCACTCACTGCCTGAACCCTCAACCCTAAACCAGAGGCAGGCTTGCTCGCACGAAAAGGCCACTGCACTTAAACAAAAAACCCTAAACTTTCAACCCGAAACCCTAAACCCTAAACCCTAAACCCTAAACCCTGAACCCTAAACCCTAAACCCTAAACCCTCAGCTGCCGACCCACTGCCGCCAGAGCGCCCGGAGCATCGTGCGCGCGCTTTTGAGCGGCAAGGCGGTGGAAGGCAGGGGCCCCACCGTCTCGGGGGTTTTAGGGAAGACCTGTTTAGGGTTTAGGGGTGTAGGGCTTAGGGGTTTAGAGTTTAGGGTAGCCCATGAAACCTACGGCTCAGTTTTGCTGCTCCTATTCCTGCAGTAAAGGGCCTTAGGGAAATTTTGGGCTTCTTCGTAGGGTTTTGGGCCTTTGGGGTATAGGGGGGTTTGGTTTTCTTTAGCTTTGGGTGTAGGGATCAGGACTGGCAGGTTTCTCAAGCCAGGCTTCAGGAATTAGGGTTTAGGGTTTAGGGTTCAGGGTTTAGGGTTCAGGGTTTAGGGTTAAGGGCTGCGGGTCAGAAACCTATGAAGGGCAAGCGTCTGACTGTGCATGAGGTCCTTAGCACTAAGCACATAGACATGTTTTCAACAGATTCAGCTACGATTGGTTGTCCGAAGTGTGGCTTCCTGTCTAACCCCGCGACTCTCCAAAGCCAAAAAACATGACTAAACCCCAAAACCCTTGTCTAATTAATGATGATGGCCGTCCTGCTATATTCTGATCCCTAAACACCATCAGTACACCCGAACCTGATGCTATTGTAGACAAACCCACCGAACAGACGAGGTCCAAGCAGCGTCCAATCACGGCAACCCCCTGCGACACCTCAGGACCGCCCGCTTTACACCTCAGTGCTTTTGCTTCAAAGTCCTAGTAAGGGACACGCGGGGATTTGTAGCATGTTGTAGGAAAACTATGTCTAATTAGGTTCAGTGCTCGTTTCTAAAGTGCCAAAAGCCACGTACAAGGCCTGCCAAGATGGCATCACTGTACATTGAAGGGCTGTCTTGTGTATTCCCCAAGAAAGCATCAAGGCTTCAGCTAAAGCTTTCAAGCGAAAGCAAGCCTAGCAAAATCCTATGCCCTCTCACCCCAAAGCCAAACCTGAAACCCTGCATCTTCAAAGAAGAAACCAGGCTAAAACCTGAACATCAAAAGGAAAGCAAGCTCAGGGACAACTCTCTCAGGGCTGTTTAAAGGGCTCCTATAAGGGGGATATATATATATATATATATATATTTCAGGCATTCCTTTATAAGGATTCTTGTAAGGATTTCTTTGAAGATGTTCCGATACGGTCCTCTACACTGTCAGGGTTCCTGTAAGAGTTTCTGAAGGATTCCCACAAGGATCCTTTTTAGGATCGATTTACGTGGCTTCTTCAATTCCTCTGAACGGTCAGGATTCCTTCCAGGGTTCCCTTACAGATTCCTCCTTTGCGCCGTAGAATGTTCCGTCGGTGGTCGGGGAGGGGGGGTAGGGTTGAGGGTTCATGAAGGTTTGCAACCCTAAACCCTTAAACCCCTCAACCCTAAACCCCTAAACCCTAAACCCTTAAACCCTGAACCCTTAAACACTAAACCCCTAAACCCTTAAACCCCGTTTTAATGGCTTCTTTGAGGGTTGCGCTAAGGCTTCCTCTGTCCAGGGCCGGCTGCTACCCCCAAGCTCTCGGCCACGGGCACCAGCGCCGCTCTGTTCGTAAGGGTTTCGGCTTAAGGGTGTAGACTTTAGGGGCTAGGGTTCAGGGTGGGTTGAGGGTTTAGGGCTTAGGGGTGGGAAGCGAGAAACTCGTGGTTTCTTTGGCTGTCAGGTCAGGAGAATAGGGTTTGGGGGTTTAGGGGGCTTCGGGTGTAGGGCTTATATAAGGGGGTTAGCGTTCAAAGGGTTGTTTTGTATTTTTTTGTGGCAGTTAGGCGTAAGCGTAATTATGCAGGATTTTCTGCGGTTAGCCATGGAACCAAGGAACCAACCTGCAACTCTCACTGCCTTCCGCCGACCCGGGGACGATCGCATTGAGGCACGCGACATCTGAGAACCTCATGTTCGCGTGCTTCTTGTATTATAGGGGCCTGAATAATATAGACCAGATTTGGGGGGGTATAGCATGCCATAAATACACCCTAAACCCTAAACCCTAATACATAATCAAGAGCCCTAAGAGAAGCGAGTCTCATCAAATCTGCTTCTTAAGGCCTCCACCGAGGCGTGGGGGTTTCGTTGCGGCAGGAACTCCGTAAAGACCCGAAGGAGTAGGAGCGGAAACGGTTCAGTAGGGTTCAGGGTTT